GAGAGAGAGAGAGAGGACGAATGAGTCTATAAATTTTGAATCCGAAGCCTTGTGTTTTGTAACTCAATTTTCTTCCAATGCTCTCATCTCTCACTAGGAAGAAGGTTGATCGCTTCCTTACCACCTCCATGCAATCCTCAAAACCTCCGTTGGTCACCATCTCCCCAAACCCTCTTAACTGCGTCAAGCAGAGAGTGCTCGTAGCGTCTCCACCATCATCTCCCTCCTCGTCTTCGTTCTCGGACGACGAAGAAGAGGTTGAGGTGGTGGAGGACGACGATGGTGATGCATGTTGGGCTACGTACGGTAGGCGGAGTCGGCGTTTCCCGCCGCCGTTGCCGTTGCTGGCGAGGACCGGGAAACTGACGTCCCACATGCCTTGGATCCTGGAAAGGATCCACGAAGACGACGGCCGCCGGCTCGTGATCCGAGAAGTTCGAGTCAACCGCCATGAATACTTCCGGGCTCGTCGGGGTGGCGGCCGGCTCACTCTCCATCTCGTGGAGCTGCATGATCACCAGTCGCCGGAGAAGCCAGAAAACGATATGATCGCTGTCGCGCGTGATCACCAATCAGCTTCGTTGGAAGAAGAGAAATGGGTACACGGACGGCGACAATGGAAACACAACAACAAGAGTGAGCATGGACGTCCCGAGAAGAAGCCCGAGGTAGACGACGTCGTTAAAGATGATGATCCTATCTTCTCCAGTGCGTGAGCCAGTTTGTGGCAAGAAGAGCTCAGAGGAAGAGGGACGACCAATATTACTGCACGTGCAAGCAGTAGCAGAAGAGTAGAATGTTCTTTTACGTGTATCATTTACGTGTACGAAGCGATGGGTAACGGCCGATACGAAATCTTCCCATGTAATACATGTCCGAAATCAAAGCCCGTTACGAGAGCAAACTTGCAAGTCTCGTTTCGGCCGTTATGCTAACCAGACCGAACCCGGCCCGGTTGTTTTGTCATGTGTGTCGGAACGGGCCCAAAAGGGTTTCTTTCGCGTTAATAGTCTCCGATTCCTATCTCACTCACCGAGCGAAAGCTTAGTTGCAATCTCTGCGAGGGCGAGAGGAACCACCCCATCCTCCGGTAGCTTTCCTCCAAGCCACCTCGGCGATCGAAGAGAAAGGCTAGTAGAAGCGATCGCTCCGACAGATATTTCACATACTTTTACCCTCGGATTCGCCGTCTTTCCCCGTGATGTTGCGAAGGTATCCCGTTTCTGTTCGATCGTTGGACGAGCTCCGTCTCCGTCAATTTTGGCTTTACGGTTTATATTGGGCTTGCTTTCTTTTGCCGTCCGGTTGGTCGCAGTTTCAATTGCGAAGTTTTCTTGATTGTTGTCATTTGGTTTTGGGCCGCTGCAGGTGCATTTGGGAGCTCTCTTCGCGTCGAGCCACCAGCAGGATCCATCGGCGGATCGCACCCCAGGTATGCATCGACCTCCTCTTTAATTAAAGCATTTGCGTTTCCCTTTTCTCAAAGCTGGTCTAATCCCGTGATGTTAGGTTTTCTTTAGTTAGTTTAATTGAAGTAATTACCGACGGCAAAAGTATGAGCTATTCTCGGAGCCTGGCTAATGGCCACGTCTATGTTGACAGTTCATTTTGATTGTCAACACTCTTTTGTTTTGCTACACTTGGGAAAGTGCGACTTCTGACGCACTTGTCCTTCTTAATTAGTTTGCACTCACTGTAAACATAACTCAAGTAGAGATACATGCAATTCTGTCATCGATGGATATGAATGAAACATGGTTACAAACAGCACAATTATGATACCTCTTTGGTCATGATGCCGGATGATACGATACAATACTTATTTTATTGTGCTTCTTTTGTAGTTTATACTTGTTGTCAAGGGAAATGCATTTATGTCATTGATGGATATGTGTACAAAACACCCCCTACAAACTCCATCATATGATACCTCTTTATGCATGACACTGGATGTTTCATTGATCCTTGTTCTCATCGTCTATCCAAGGTGGAACTGTTTGGACCATGTTACAGTTGCTACGATTAGGTTTTGCACTTAGCTTGGTGAGTGATATATTGGGATAGGATTAGTTGGTTTGCCATTTTGGGTCACGGATATTTGTTGAGCCTTTAACTCAGTTAATTTACTAGGTTGGGTAATGGGGTTTGGTCTTGCTAAGACAACTTTTATATGTTAATTCTACCGAAAACAAAGGCTCGTACTTTTATACATCTTACAGTTGACTGAGGCTTTTGTTAGCTGAGAGATTGTATTTGTGACTTAAACCCTTGACAACCAAATTGTAAAGAAACAGTTTTACCATGGTACCAAGGCTTGCACTCTTAATTTTGTGAAACATTTTAAGTAGATAATTTGAAATCTGTGAGCTTGATGATATGCTTTTGATTGTTTAATATGTTTTTGCTTTGAGTAAACTTAGAGTGAATTTTGGAACAGAAACCCTTAATCTTAATTTTATATGTATTAATTGCCGATGACAGAAATTGAAACCTGGGCTTTGATGATATAGATTGCAATAGCATTTATATACTTGTTTTTTTTTTTTTTCTGTTTTTTGCATGTCTACCTCCATGATTTTAGATGCAAAAACACACTGGTACTGTAAATGTTCTTGACTTTTTCTCATGCTGAATGGATTCTCTTTGACCATATATAACAGGACAATTTGGCCTTTTAAGTATCTATTAGTGGCTTTGATCGTGTCTTGCTTTGACGTATAGTTCTTTTTTGTAGCATTTATGCCTTCGGTTGTGGCATTATATTGAAGGTTATGATTAATTCCAGTGCTAGTTTTTGGATGTTTGGATCCCTAGATATGTTCCATTTATTGACCTCAAAATTTTAGATCCCTAGATATCTCACTAGATATGTTTGCAACTTACTTCTAGGGAAACTATAATATTCCACTTGGATAATTGATGCTTGCACAGTGCACACTCATTGAAGCCCCTATTTTTTATGGACATATATCTTGGTGTTCACAATGCATTAGTCCATGGTTGTATTTTCACAAAATAATAAAAAATGAGAAGAACTTTAGAATATATAAATATATGTATGTGTGTGTGTGTGCTAAAACCCTATAAATTTGGAAAATATGAGGAATATAACAGTTTTTTCAGTAAGCTGGGTGCTAAAAATGAAGAATATTTACTGAATTGCTAAAACTAGAGAGAGGAAGAGTAGAGATTTAGTTATTAGATGCATGGATGAAATTAAGAGGCACTTTTCAATGATATGAAATTTAAGAAAGATGAAGAAATTATTTTTATAAATTAGTTAATCGACATTTTATTAAAATCTTAGCCTTAAAGATAGGTAACATTGAAGTTTAACAATTGTAGAATTGTTCATAAAATTATAACAAATGATGTAAAGAAAGGTTTTAAAAGGATAAAATTAAATAAGAGCCTAGAACCTGATGAAATCATTATTGAAGTTTGGAAGAGTTTAAGAGATAAAGGGATGGTTTGTTTGAAGTTTAAAACATGTCTGATGAATGGAGGAAGAGCTTTTTAATACCTACTATAAGAACAAGGGAGACATTTAAGGATACTTTAACTATAAAAGGATTAAGCTCAAGAGTCACACTATAAAACTTGGTAAAAGGATGATTGGAGGAAGTATATAGACATGAGACGAGTGTTTTTGAGAATCAGTTTGGTCTTATTTCCAGAAGATCAACTGCAAATGCTATTTATTTATTGACAATAAATGACAAAAATACAGAGAAAATAACAGAAATATGGATATGATTTTCATTGACTACAAAAAGTTTTTGATAGAGTTCTTAAAGATTTATTATGATAGGGTTTAGGGAACAATAGAGTAACTATCAATTATATTAATGTTATAAAAAAGATATGTATGATAGACTAGTAACTAGTTTTAGGACTATTGGGGTGTGTTATTAGTGAGTTAAGTAACTATAAAATTGCATGAAGGCATGATGGGAAATCCTTGTCTTTTCAAATTGGTCATGGAAAGTAATAAATGATAGATCCTTATGGTGTATGTTATTCGCTGATGGCATTATTTTGATTGATGAAAATTTAGTTGAGATTAAACCTGAACTTGAGTTATGGAGACAACATTATCTTGATTGATGAAAGTCTAATTAGGATTCAAATGACTTACATAGATGATATTGTTTGATTGGCAAAAGATCAAATTAAATTAAATTTAAACTTGAGTTATGGAGACAAAGAACCGAATATACGAAATGCAGTCTCAGATTAAATTGAAGGTTTGAGATTAAGTAGGACAATGAGAAGGAGAGAGTGATGAAGACATTGTTTAGAGAGTAGAAGTTGGATGGTTAAATAGGTGTCTGGGGGTGTGTGTGATCATTGCATTTCGCTTATATTAAAAGAAAAAATTATAAAACATTTGTAAGGCTATGGATCAAAATATAGTGCAATTAAGAAACTACATCTACAGAAAGTTATTGCAGCTACGATGAGAAAATTGAGGTGTATACATGGATTTATTAGAAAAAGAAATACAAAATATTTTCAATTGAGAATAATTAGGTGTTGTCCTGATGAAAGATAAAAAAAGAGAAAATCAATCGTATGACTATATTCAATGGAAACTCTGAATGATGCAATTAGATATAGGAGTTGAGTGGGATAGTGGTGGGAGAATAGGTAGCTGAAGACTTGAGAATAATTTTTTAGAAACAATAGAAAGATATATGAATGCTCTTGATTTATTTAGTGATATTGCATTATATAGAACTCAGTGGCAGTTGGCAGTCCATGTAGCTAACTCCAAATAAGTCGGAATATCTTATTATTGCTTTTGTAATAGCCAGAGAAATGACACGAACTACTGCTGTGACAATGTGTAGCAGAAGAAAGTGGAATAGATGCAACAGGTGGTTTGTCAGTTTAATTTATATGTCCATGATGTGAAGAGATTTTAAGAAGGTTCCTACAAAGGTGAAGAGGGGATTAAGATATATGGTAATGTTTTGGGAAGGATTTTGGAGTTTAGAGCAATATAATTCGATATTCATGTCTCACTTTAATGGACTAGTGGCAAATACAAAAAGAGTTTGGGTCTGCAAAAGGTTTTTACTTTTTCAGAGAGAGAATAGGATTTACATGATAAAAAAATAGAGTATCTTTGACATGCCAATAATTGTCCAATTGTTTGCTAAGAAATTGATAATTGTTCCAAAAAAAAGGCAGGACAAGTAAGACAACAATGAAGCACTTAAAAAGCAGCCATATGTATGTTAATTGTGACCTGAATGATTAATTGATGAAATAACTTGCTATTTATTGTCTTTAGTGTGCATGCGTAAGTAGTGATTGTGCACATCAATTATCTTGTTCAATAGTTGTAGATAGGTTTGTATTACAGGTGGTTGATATTTTTCCTTCCTAAATTCTTTAAGTTCTCTGATTATCTATGAATATGAGTGATCTTTGAAAATTAATCTTCAAATCAAAATATGTTTCTAATGACATCTGCTAGTGTGATAATCACTGTTTTGGTATGAGTTTAACAGATATCAGTCTACCTTTCATCAAGAAGCCAGTTCTCAAGTGCTCCTCCGCAGAATTCATTACAGGGATCTGCTACTGCAGACAATGCTTCTCATTCAAGGAGCTATATCTCAAAGCTTGTTCTTGGGAGTGTAGTTATTGGAGCTGCTATTACAGCAGCTTATAAAACTGGCTACATAGATATTCAAGTAAAGGATGACAAATCTTCTCCTAACTCTAGTAAGTTGAATGCTGCTAAAGATTCCAAAGACCTGGAACTTTCAGTTGAACAAGCAGTTCTTCTAAGTAATGAAGAAACAAGCACGTTGGAACCTGACATTGAGATTGTTGAGAAAAGTGATGAACCTCAAGGTCAGGAATTTGAGATTAAAGGAGAAGCAATTTTAGAGAGAGTACCTTTGGAGGAGACTGCTCCTCTGAAAGAAAATGAACCAACAGAGGTTGATTCTAAAATACCATCCGAAGTGAGTTCTTCAGTTGCTGATGAGCAAAAAGCCGATTCTGAAGTATCATCTGAAGGCACTACGTTAGATGACATATTGGTCTCTACAGAAGTGACTGTGGAACAGAACAAGTCAAATGAAACTTCTAAAGAAAACATAGGAGAAGAATCACAAGTTTCTGAAGAAGCTGTATTAAAGGAGGCCCCCATTAAAGTGGCAATGGTATGAGCTTGCTCATTTATTATTGTTGTGAATGCTGGTTTACGATATGTTTACATTGATATGAGTTAAATTTGTACTCCTTTATGCATAATTACAATTTTGGCTTCCAGAATATGAATGGAGGATGTTGAAGGAATAAAGCAAATGCACCAGCTTGTTTTCCCTTTTCTCTTTGCTTTTCAACCTTTGTTTGATTTTGTTCTAACAATATGTGACAATTTTTTAATGATTGCAATTCTGATGCCTCTGTAGAATCTTTTATTTTGACCAACAACATCTTATCTGTATGAGTTTCAGTTCTGGTTCAAACTGTCCATTAGATCTTAAAACACAATGACCACCTCCTTACCTTATACATAAGCCTACTGATGGCAGAAATCCTTGCGTAAGATTTCATATAAAGAACAGAAAAAGACCCAGGATGTGGACATGGCACATCTTGGACATGTGGACATGATAAATCTTGAGTAACTGCACATCTTAATATATTTACCAAGTATTGAATTTTCTATTTATTATCCTATTCCATATATATTTTTATATATTTGCCCAAATGGTGAGGATTAGGATAGCTGACTAAATATTTTCACTTCTATTTAAGATAGACTTAAATAGGATCCAAACATCTTTTAAGGCATTATTCAAGAGTTGCCAAATTGACCTCAGTACTATCAGTTTGTCCTTTTATCCAACTTTGCTTTTATTTCTTCTTGAGAATTATGCTTCTGTTTTTGTAGCTTGTTGCAGTTCTTCTTGCTTAGTCATATTGCGAAGAGTTATGACATAGAACTTCTCATAATTATGCCATTTTACTTAACAAATCATAGACAACACTAGCAGATTATTTGATGAAAATTAAGTGTGATTGGTTTAGCTTTAGAAAGAATTAATAATAAGGAGAACAATGTTCTTGTACTTATGAATTTGACTTCATAAACAAAACAAGAATGAAATGAACCCTTGTCAAATCACCATATGACCAGTTATAGCAAAATAAAAATGATAAATGGGAAGGACAATGGTAGAGAAGAACTGAAAATAAAAGCATACTGCAATATTTAAATAACTTTCAGTGCAAGCAAAATTATACAAGTAAGAAGAACACAAATTAGAAGAACTGGAAGCATACTCAATTTACAATTTGTTCTATCTGGACCGTCTGTACTGATGTGATGTTGAGTTATTTTGATTGTCCTGGCTAATTGCCTGTTAGGTCGCTGCAATCTGGATGTTAGATTTTAATTTCGTACCATATAGTTTCAACAATTCCACAAAAAGAATGATCAAATGCTTCTCTTGCTTTTGTGAAGCGCACTCTTTACATTTGTCCACCATGGTTGGTCTATCCAGCAGGATTCTGCAGATACTGAGGAAGGGCCATATAAGTCTCTGTCTGAGTCATATTCCTTACAAGATGAAGGGAGCCAGAAAATTTCCAGAGAAGAGATCAATACTGATGCTGTGGCAACATTTTCTACTATTAAAGAGGTCATTTTCTTTCAAGTTTTTTTTATAACACCAAGTAATCTACTTAGTGATATGTCAACAATTTCTACACAAATTGTTTGCTTACTTTTTTTTTCTTGTATTCAAGGGATATATAGGTGCAACCGAACAAGTGAGGGATGAGGAAAGTTCCAAAGATGGAAAAATAGTACTTGATTTAATAGAAGCTATCCATGCTGCTGAGAAAAAGCAAGCTGAATCAGATGCTTTTGTCTTTGCTGAAGAAAAAAGGGTGTTGAAGGTTTGCTTCATTGCATGAACTCTATTATGTTATTTGGAAAGTTCAATTCTTATCCATGCCTGTTTGTGATAACTTTTCCATATAATAACCTGAAGTATTAGGCTGTAATAAGGACTAATCAGATGAGAATTTGTTACTTTAATTTTGATTAGTTATATTTTGGTGAAACCATGTCCTACAAACTATGCAACTACCTTCACCCTTTTCCCTTTTTCTTAGAACTAAAAGAAACATGCTTCTCTGTTTGCTCTGAGTTGGATATGGAGTACCAAGTGCAACATGGTTCAAGGTTTGCAATACCGCCCAATATGGTATGGTATGGGTAGTATTTACCGTTCTATCATGACTTAGTTGGAATTACCTGAGTTGTGAGACATCCTTGTATTATCCGTCCGCAAAGAGTCAGCCTAGTTGTAACCTTGCTCAAGTCCTGAAGGACTTGTAAAAGAGCAAATTGATTAGTTCGAAAACGAGCAGCGGACAAATCCCGACGTCTCGTGATTTTACAAGCAATTCAGCAAACACTTAGTGTGCAAGAGAAAAAAGAGAAGAAAAAGAGGAAAGAGAAAACAAGAATTTTAGAAGGCAAATGAACAATTGTAAGTCTGCAAACAATTGCTCATCGAGTGTAGGGCACGTTGGCAAGTTTCCATAGGCTTAATATACGAACTTGTGAATCCAATTAACGCCCAACACTATCCTAAATCCCTATCTAGCCGTGTGCCACCCGGGGGGTTCCGGAGTGCTGAGCTAGCTGACGTTTTTCTTTGCATCATAGCTTACAGAAAACAGGTCATGACATACGAAAATTAGGCCATTCTAGGGCAATTTTGCTTATTCTAGTGAGCGATTGCTCTGCAACCTTGCAAACTGGTATTGCTTTTAGTTTTTAAGCAAAAACACATAAAAACAAGGCAAAACACGTTGCTAAACATATGTTCAAGCAAACAAAAGTGTCGAACGGTTTGTTGACGAAGGTGTTGTGGGTGTGCGACAACCGTCCGTGATAATCCGATAGGTTATTGGTACACAGATTAGTGTAAACCGGATGGTACGGTATGCGTCGGCATCATGCGGGATGCAATACCAGCACTTGATACACTGGTACGGAGCAGTACCACACTGATCTGGGCCTTGACTGGTACAGTACCGGTACATGAAATTGTGGACTTTGACATGGTTCTTAACATTTGAAATATTTCTTGCTAATTTAGTGTACAACCATACAAGTTTACAACATGAAAAATTCCAAACCTTAAATATAGGTATAGGTATATGGCTTGAGATTAAATATTTAAAATATATTCAGATATAATAAATAAGTAGCTAAAATTTTTTTCAAGTACATGTGCAAAGTCAGATTACATGGAAAAAGAACCTCTTTTGGAAAGATTTCTTAAAATTCAAATTACATAGAAAAGAAGGGTGAGCATCTTTACAAAATTGTTCATAGATGCAGATAACAATTCTGTTCTTTTCTTATCTGTGTTTCTGATTTCAGGAGAAATATGAAAAGCAACTGAAGGATGCTAAGGCCCGAGCGCTAATGTATGCTGAAGAGGCAGCAATTTTGGAGAAGGTCTAGACATCTCTGATCTGTTTCTTGTGAATACACCATTTATTTTGTGATTATTTATTCGGTCAATGGGCATTACTGTTAAGTTTTGATGTGCTTTTGTTTATTTAAAATTGCTAAGCTATTTAATTCTGAATTCTTTATTTTTCTTAAACATCGCTTGTAGGTTTGAGTTGCATTTAATAGTTTTTTGATGACTGTTTTAATATGATTCTAGATACCTAATTTAGTACTCCTATCAGAGTTTATCTAGTCAAATTATGTTCTGAGGTACAGGTCATGAAATTAAGAATTATGAATTTTGGCATTGTGCAATTAGTGCTTGGTGATTTATATGGCTTTTCAAAGCTCATATAACTTGGCTACTTATTGTGCTTCCTATAATGGTTTTCATATCTTAATCCAGAATTCATATCAGTACGATGTTGATAATGGCAAAAGTTGTCTGTTCCAATTCCAAATGCTTTTAAATCCTATTTTTTATGTATATTTGCTACATTAATGGTTAAAGATGCTTTTAAGAACTATTAGTTGCTATACAATACAAAAGGAGTAAGTTCAAAACTTGTAAATGTATGAGTTATATCTAATTCATGATATACCTACATATGCTCTACAGTTTCTTACATGTCAATTTGAGAAGTAAATCTGAAAAAGCATGCTCTGTAGTGAATTGTCTATTGGAAAAGGCTTCAATCATGTTGATTCGCAGAAAATCAATATGATCAGTTCTCTACATTCTCATCACAAAAGAACTTCTCTTGATTACTGAAACTATGTTTTCAGGAGTTGAACAGAGAGAAGGCAAAAGCAGCAGCTGCAATCAAGTCACTTCAGGAAAAATCTGAAAACAAACTTAGAGAGGAATTGCAACGCAAGGTGCATTCTTGATAAACCAGCATCATCACTGTCACCCCTTTTATAGTTTAATAATTAGGTTTACATGTTTCTTGCAGGACGAAGAAACTGATACGCAGCTTAAGAAAGTTAAAGAGTTATCAAAAGCTGAATTAGCTGCAGCTATTGCAAAGGAGAAATCATCTCAGATAGAAAAGATTGCTGAAGCAGACCTTAATGTATGATATGCTGTCACAGCGGGCATATACTATTCTGTTGTTATTTTATCTACACCTTTTTTGTTGAGTGGGTATCTGACTATGCTATGAAGGAGCAACACATGTTTTCAACCCATTTTTACTCATTTTGTCATTCTATTAATTTATTATGCTTTTGGATAGTTACTGGGATGTTTTATGTGGTTTTTGTCAGATAAATGCTTTGTGTATGGCGTTCTATGCAAGATCTGAAGAAGCCCGCCAGACACACTCTGTTCACAAACTTGCACTGGTGGGTTCTGTACTATTTTCTATTGTCTTTACCTGAGTCTGGGTAATGGGACTTCATATCAAGATTACAGTAAATAATGGTTGAAAGCAGGCTCTGCCATACCGAACTGTACCGCCCGGTACAGGCAATACGTACCGGTCCGACAGGTTGTCGGTACGCGGACTGCCTATTACCGGTCCCAGTGCACTATAGCACTGTAGCAGTACTACAGTACTCGGCACACCTGGGTGTACCGCTCGGTACACCTGGGTGTACCGCTCGGTACACCTGGGTGTACCGCTCGGTACACCTGGGTGTACTGCTCGGTATACCGTACCGTACCGGTACCGAGCCCAGGTCGAAATACCGGTACGGTACGGTATTGCGAATCTTGGTTGAAAGTATGCTCAACCAATCTGTTTCAGGAGTTTCAGGGGTTCTTCTGAGTTTGATAATTTTGCTGGTGTTGACTGAAACAGTTTTGACTGGCACTTTTAAATATGGTTACAAATCTTTCGGAAGGTCTGGAGATTTACCGGATATAGCATGCTGGAGCAAGAATAATTTGATTTCTGTTAATTTGTAATGCTGTTTTTATGATTTTGAGAGCAAACAAATTAAGAGCTACATTACAAAATCAATAGTTTCAGCATTGTTTTACTTAAATCCATCAATCATTTCACCATTATAGATTCTTAATTAGGATTGTAAGCACAACTGAATTTTAATCATTTTTTGATGTTTTAACTGAATGAACTCTTTATTAGATAATTGTCTTGAACGAGGCATGCACACACATATGCATACATATCTATTTGAATGTCAGTCTGACTGCTTTATGTGGCTTTAATTTCTTGTTTCTCTGTTGATTTTTCCCTAAATATTTTTGTTTCGAATTTTTGTACCCAGTACAACTGAACCGTTGAAACCAAACCTTGGATGGCAGGCAGAAGTCAACATAATTTGAACACATTGCAATTATCAAGCTTTTTTTACTATTTATGTGTTCAGAAACATAAACCTATGTGCCTATCTACTTGCCAATTTTTCATGCAGGGAACACTTGCTTTGGAAGATGCTCTATCCAGAGGATTGCCAATCCGAGCTGAGGTAGATGCACTGCTAAAGTCACTTGAAGGCATTGATAAGGATTCACTTGTAGAGTTGGCACTTTCATGCCTTCCAGAAGAAATATTAAACAATGGGACAAGCACTCAGATGCAGCTCAATCAAAAGGCAAGTCAAATTTGGTGTTGACTGCGTTCATAGCTATTTCTTTATACTGCTTTTGTAGATAATTATGCCAACTTTTCAGTTTCATCTTTGGTCAAGATTGCTGGTAATCCTACTATTTTGACAATGGTAGGTTAATTTTTCATTGTTATGTTACTGAAGATCAGTGATTTCTCTGCAAATGAAGATTGTTATTTTCTTTCTGTGGATGTCATGTTGTTAAGAATTGACATTCTAAGTTATTTGGGGCATGAGTCACTTTTTTCATGTCTATCAGGCATATTCAGTGGAGATGGGTAATTTTGTTCCTTATCTATGTGGAAGAGGCTGATATCAGGTTGATGTCCAATCTAGGAAAAGGAAGTTTCTATGGTAGGCCTGTAAATGGATTGAATTTGATATGATATAATCCAAATTCTAATTGGACTTTATGAATCAATATTTTGATTTAACAATGTCATTAGCTATCCAATCCAATTATCTGTGTAATAGTGACTTGATTAGGTAATACTAATGGGATCTTTAATAATTTTTAAGTGACATATCCGCTATCAGATGAATATTTATAAGTTGTAGCAACCTAGACTGCAAAAAAGTATTTCTATGCACAATTGGATTGCATGGGGTCCAGAATCCAGCTTCACTTGACTGCATCATGAACCGATCTTTCTTTTTTATTTCAGTTGGATTTGGTTCAACCCCAACTGATTATGATTCTGATATATATATATATATATATATATATATATATATATATATATATATATATATATATTCATACATATATCTCGTAGGTAATAAGTGCTGCAAAACAACAAGTTCCTCAACATAGTGTCTGTCTATTAATCATATGAGTTTTAACTGAAGGATAGCAAGTGTGATCCATACATTTAACTTAATGATCACTGCCTAGCTGTCTAATTGACAGTAATTAACTTATTGGTGCAATTTCTCCTTAATGACATTTTTTTGATCTGGTCGTTGCTGTTATATGCATGCACTTCTCCTTACAGGACAAGTTAACTGTTAATTGTGAACATTCGTTTTCCCTTTCTTGATTAATAGTGTGGAGAACACCTTTTAGCCTGCTGTTCCTATTCTATACCTCATAAATTGAGTGCACACCACATCTCAAGATTTGATACTTCAATTGCTTTGCATAGCCATTCACATTCTTCTTTCATCGCAGTTTGAATCCCTGAAGGGTACCCTGCGGCATTTCAGCCTTATTCCAGCTGGCGGTGGTGGTATCTTAGCTCATATGGTAGCTCATGTTGCATCTTCAATAAAGGTCAGTTTCATGGTTTCTCGCACTTGCATTGTGGTCTTATCGTGATTTGATGTGACAACAATGAGACACTCTTTGTCCCTACGATCTTGATACATTACCCTATTTAACACTTGAATCTGCTGCTCTCCTATGTTATCAGATGAAAGAACAATCCGGAGATGGAATCGAGCCTGTCATCAGCAAAGTTGAGAACTTGTTGGTAGACGGTAATTTTGTGGAGGCAGCAGATGTCTTGGAAGGAGGGGTTCGTGGCAGTGAAGCAGAGGAAGTTGTCATCGAGTGGGTGAGGCAGGCAAGGAACCGTGCAGTTGCAGAGCAAGCACTTACTCTTCTTCAATCATATGCCATGTCTATTACCTTTACCTAGTTCTCGGCATGCAATATAAGTCTGTTCTACGATTCCAAGAGGCAGTTTTCATGTTTACATGCCCTCAAACTATCATCACCACTGCTCTGCTCAATTCATCAGCGTGGTGGTCGTGTGCAAGAGGACACAGATGTCTTTGGCATCTCTTCTTGAGCTTTTGCTCATCTTAAGCCTGGGTACATTTTTTTTTTTTACGGTGGCAATCAAATAATGGAGGGTTGTTTTCTATACAAACGAGGTTATTCTCGATTGGGGTCCGATTCTGTAGGTTTTTTCTGTTAAAAAATTTATTGAAGATATAAAGAATCATTTTGTCCGAGGTTCTTCAACCCAAAATTTCACTGACAATTTGTTGATCAGTTGTTTTTTTCCTTGTGAGAATTGGAACAGGTGTTTCCTTTGATTGTTCTTTCTCTGGCAGAGGAATCGGTGGGTCTGAGAGAGATCAAAAGAGTCTCTGCTGCGAGATGTTCTGAAATATGAGAATTGCAAGAATCGGTGCATCTGCTGTAAGTATTGATTGCCGATTGCAGCAGCGTTGGATGTGACTGAGTCAGACCATCCATCTCTTTTGTCAATGACTGCAGTGTTGTATGGTCGATCGTAGGGGCTGTCAGCTTAGAAATTATTTGCAGCACTCGAAAGACACTTGTTTGGGTTGATATGGAATATATGGTTTTGTGCTGCCGCTGCAAATTGTTCCATGGGAGAAAGGATGACAGTATATTATTGCGATACGAGATCTCATGTTCGAGTCAATGAGTGAACGTCATGTGAGCTATTTAATATAAATTAATTTCTTTAAACTATGAGAGAAAGGGAATAAAAGTTTGCATCGTTCTTGTGAATATGTTGAAAATAAGTTCTTAGAAAGCCTCACCAGAAATGATAACTTGAGCTTAATTTTTCTACAGAGAAGAGAGTAGAATCTATGGCCATTGGAGGAGGCATTGATATCGAACTAGTGTTTGGGTCGTCGTATCAAAACTAAATAAAGGAGTTATTGATCCTAGCCTAGTCATTGAACCCAGGGCACTTCAAAATGATGCAGCATTCTCCACCGGAAGAACTCTTTAAGGACTAGGCTAAGTTCATGGCACAGTTAAAGAGGAAAACACGATGATGATGCCTTTTTATCTACCCGTCTTGCTGAAGAGATGAGAAGAAACTTCAGTCACTAGTTTTGTCTGTTTACAGGATTATATTTTAGCCAAAGGTTTGTAGAAAACTTTTATCGTGGACTTTTGATTCTGAATGGATATTGACAACAGCAAAGACCAGAAAAATCTCTCCGACAGCAAGTTCATCAGTGCAAATTTGATCCTTTATCGTTATCTACTCCCCAAATCTATATGGGGTCTGCTTTCCTCTTCGAGTGGTCGGCCTTTTCACTGCTATAATGGATATACTTGTCTGGCCTGCAACTTAGTCACATAGAAGCTGAGTGCAGCATTGTCCACCGGAAGACATGATGAACTAGTCAGGTGAGGAATGGAAGGCAAGCAGCTAACTTCTACCGAGGTCTTGCGCTTGGATCAGAGAATGCTGGGGCCGATGGAATCAAGAGAGCATACGTACAAGAGCTTGCCTCTTCACTGCCACACTGATGTTTGTTCTTCTTCGGAGGATGATGAAGATCCAAAGGGTTTATGATATCCTGTCCAATCCAGTTCTACTTGGTAAGTATGGCAATCAGTTTGAGCTTAATTGATACAGCCAAGCAAGGAGATCAAGAAAGAATAGTATATCCTAAAGAAGCATAGATAAACAGCTTCATAAGCTGAAAGCTAACTCAATTTCAGATTAATGATTTGAATGGGAAAAAAAAGATGACAGGATGCAGTATCTCAAACTTAATTCGTTGAAGGAATCAAACTACATGCAGGCAGGCTTCTTTGTTAGTTTAAGGTTTATTTCTTTATCAACCTAGTAAAAGAGCTCTTTGCTTGTAGGAAAAAGACTGTGTATTATCCCTCTTAAGACCGCAACAACAACTAGTTTTACATGTTATCCTAAATGATAAAGTTGTTTTGTACTAAACAAATTGATTCGACGATCACTTTCACCTTAAGAGAAGAAAATGAAATAGAAACTGTCACAATAAATAAGAAAGAGTTAGCTTTAGTCGGTCTAGATGCAAGGCATTCATATTAGTAAACCTTAACAGTAGGTTGCTTCATTTATCTGTCTTCAAATTCACCACTCATTTATCTAAACCATGGACCGCAATTTTGCTTGCAGTCTGACCACTACCCGAAACCCGAATCAGAGCAACTTCAGGATGTTCAAGTGTAATACAGGCTTACCACTCAGCAAGGCATGTGAACCGAGCTTACTGCTTGCTTCAGGCTAAGTAATGGGCCTGGGGCAGGCAGTAAACCCAACTATTTTTTATTTTTTAAAAATTTTAAAGATGAAAACACAAAACCCTATCTTATCCTATCATAGGTTTTCCCCTGCACCCGTGTCTACATCTGCATCTGCCATTGCCGCATCCCTCTCTACTCTTCTTCTCTCCACCTCATTTTCCGTTCTCTCTTTATTACTTTATTGTATATATTATAACGACCAATCAGACACTCTTAAATAAGCTATATAGCCACTTCACATAGGTTTCTTTATGGTGAGAGCCTTTGACAAATACTAGATGTTTCTTTTGGTTTAGCTAGTGATAATCTTTACTTGGAACTAGTGAATGATACCAACAAATAAAATCATGTTAAAGGAGAATCTCGGTCCCTTATGTCATGACCTGGCTTGATTGGATAACTAATCCATTAACCTCATGGAGTCTAAACCCACTTGTGCAAAATGCTTAAGACCAAGAACTTCATTAAGCCCTTATAAGTCAGTCTAGGCCCTTGCCCATGGGACTAAGTTGGACTGTTACAATTTGTCTCACTGAAGAGCTTGACGTCTTTATCAAACATCAATATAGCCTAGATCAATCCTAGCATGGTAACTCCACGCTGTGCTGTGCTACCTAGCCTCAATCACGGATTACCCTTTCTTATTTGAGCACCTTATCATATCCAATACCAATTGTGAGACTAAATCGAGGTGTTATAAGAGTTCTGTTTCAAGCCAGGCTTCTTCCTAATGCCTCCAGTTTTGGCTCTTTCTAATCCATCTCCAAAACGCCTAGCATTTTGCCATGACAACCATCCATGTAACTGTCATCACACCAATCATCAAAGTAGATCCACCAATATGGCATTAATATACCCCCTCTTGTGCCACTATTAGATGTGAAAGATCTATCTCTACTTGTGTGGTCTTGTCAATTGTATATATCAAACCTTAGAATAACTCACTAAGAGATGTATAATAAATGAGTTAGCATAAACATTTAATTAATCTGATCCATTATGTACAATAAATGAGTTATAAACAATGACATATGCAACACAATAAATCAACTGACAGAAGACACTTGAAAAAATAGTTAAAACTGAAAAGGTGCAAAACAGTTACACTACTTAGATGACTACAATAATCTTGCTTAACAAGACAAATCATCATTTTCCTTCCTTAGAAGATTCGTAAAATGAATGAAATGCATGAAATGATTTATGTTTTAGACTTACCCTTCAGTTACTAGATCCCTTTCAACAAAAAAGTTGGAAGTCTTGATATGATCTAGTCAACTTGCAGCAAATCCCTCTTGCCTTCTCCCCCTCCAAAATAAATAAATGACCATGTCATTATGGTCACCACTGATTTCATATATGTCTGTTCCATGTTACTGAAAGTACCTTCCAACACAATTTCATTGATGTCAGAGAACATGCAAAAATTGATCAAGAATAACAATCAAGCGAACCTTCTCTCATGGAATTAGAATATAAACAGTCAGATCCTTTATGTTATACTCCATCCAGGTTCCTTCTTCAAACTACCTCCCTTCATTGAGTTTCTAATCCTCAAAACATCTTCCCAGTTCCCCACATCTGCAGAGATGTTCGACAAAGAAATAATAGTTCCAGAGTCTTTAGGTTCCAGTTCAAGAACTTTCTCTGCAGCTAACTTTCCCAACTGAACATCACCATGGACTTTGCAAGCACCAAGCAATGTACTCCATACTAGTAAATCAGGTTCAATAGGCATCCTACCAATTAAATCTGCAGCTTCTTTGAGCCTTCCGGATCGACCAAGTAAGTCAACCATACAAGCAAAGTGATGAGTTTTTGGTTCAATCCCATAGTCAGAGCTCATAGAATTGAAATGGAAAAGGCCTTTTTCCACTAAACCATTCCGACTACAGGCAGATAAGACACTAACAAATGTCACAGAATCAGGTCTGATTCCATTTTCTTTCATCAGTTCAAACATTTCCAGAGCTTCAACACCGCTCCCATGCCGAGCATATGCATCAATCATGGATGTCCACATAACTAAATCAGGGTATTCAGTTTCATCAAATACTCTATGAGAATCATCAATTCTACCACATTTTGCATATAATGTCAATAGTGCACTACTGACTGAATTATAAGATATTGTGCCTGCTCTAATTGCGTGGGCATGCAATTGCTCACCCAAACTCGGTCTCCATAAATTCGCACATACCCAAAGAACTGATGAGCAAGTAAACCGATCAAGGTCAATACCTGCAGCAACCATGCGTGTTAGTTCCTTGAGTGCCTCCTCACTGTAACCATTTGTGGCATAGCCTGAGACCAAGGAAGACCATATGATCTGATCTTTCTGCAAGACCACATCAAAGACTCTTTTGGCAGATGCTAGATTTTTACATTTCAAATACATCGAGACTAGAGCACTACCAAGAGGTGGGTCAATCCTGAGTCCAATACGAAGAGTATGCCCATGAAGCTCTTTGCCTTTCATCAAGAACCGTCCATCATTGCATGCCACAAGAATGGAGGATATAGTCGTTTCATCGGGCACGATATGTTCGAGTATCATATCTCTGAACAACTGGAATGCTTCATTAGTATGACCACGTCCTGCAAATCCGGAGATCATAGATGCCCATGAAGCTCTGTCTCTATCCTGCATTCTGATGAAAAATTTACAGCTATCTTCTAAGCTACCACATTTGGAGTACATGGTAAAAAGTGCACTCCCAACAAGAACATCATGCACAGACCCATCTTTTATGGCGTAAGAGTGTATCTGCCTTCCAAAATCTGTACAGTCAACTACGCTAAGAACAACAGAGCAGCATTTATTGTCAGGTCTAAGACCTTCACTGAACATCCTGCAGAACAGCTGCAGTGATCTCAACAAGCATTCGTTTTGTACAAGGCCACAGACCATAGCTGACCAAGTGGTAGGACTTCTCAATGTATCTGTCTCTTCAAAAATCCTTTCAGATGATTGAACATTTCCAAGTTTTGCATAAGTGCTGAGCAGGGCACCTTTCACCACAGGATCAGTACACAACCCTATTTTCGTAATCAAGCAATGAATTTGGTCTGTCTCTTCCACCGTTGATAATTTAGAGCAGGCAAGGAGCACACTGGTCATAGTGCACTTGTTAATCTCCACACCCGAACCTAACATTTGTTTGAAAAGCATCAAAGCATCGCCAACCTCTTCCTTTTGAACGAAACCAGAAATAATTGCTGTCCAGGAAACCACATTGCGAACAAGCATCCGCGAGAATTCTTTCATGGCCGCATCCATATCCCCACATTTCGCATACATGTCGACAACAGCAGTTGTGACAACAACGTCAGGTCCAGCATCATGTTTAATCACCCACGCATGTATTCCTTTACCTGAATCCAGTCTCCCAGCAGCAGCACAAGCACGTAAAATGCTCGACAGTGTAAAGAGATTTGGCATGCAAAACCCGTTCACCATCTGAGGAAAAAGGTCCAAAGCAATCGAATTCTCCTCATTCCAGACCGCCCCTGCTATGATAGCATTCCAACAAACAACGTTGGTAGTAGCGCCCTCCCAGAAAACGCTTAGAGCATCATCGAGACGGCCATGCTTCGAGAAGAGGTCGATCAGTCCAGAACAAACGTATCCATCCGAGCAAAAGCCGTCCTTTATCACCAGAGCATAGACCTGCTCGGCCAAATCCAGGTTGCGGGACGCGGCGCAAGCCGAGACCACCTTCCCGTACGCGACCTGATCCGGCCGGAAGCCCGAAGAACGCATCTCATAAAAAGCCGTAACCGGGTTCGAGCGGTTCCATGAAGCGAAGTACGGACGGGGAATTTCGTCGAGCATGCGAAGGGCATCCTGCGCGCGGTAGGAACTGAGGCAACGGTCGGCGAGACGGCCCTTGACTCGAGTGGCTGATGCAGTGGGGGATGATTCTGCTATGCTGGGTCGCGTTCTTGCGGACAGGAAAGTGTGGAATCGTGTGCGACGGCCAGAGGAATGGAATGCGAGGGGCAACGAAGGAGGCAGACCGGCGTCGATACGGAGGCGTAGAGAGGTGAAGAGACCGAGGAAGGAAACGGGACTGGAGAAGCGTCGGGAGGCGAAAGCGAGCAGATTTCTCATTACATTT